TAACTAAAAGACACACAGAGACACAGACATACATATAGACACACTGACACACAGACACAGAGACACACACACACACAGACACACACACACTGACACAGAGACACACANTTCATCTCATGACGCTTCATCAAACCACCTGTTGGTCAAAGTGTGTAAAACAGGCAGATTGGACATCTCAACAGTGTGCTCTATCACATACCGAGTTCCCAATGAGTAAAGCCTTAGAATAACTCTAAACAACAAACATAAAATCATATTTTCATGTTAACAATATTGTTTTTATTCCAGTTTAATGATTGTGATTGAAAAGCCTAAGGAGGCTGGTAAACATTGCAAAGAGGGATTTGTATTCCTTAATAATGTTCATAAACTATGTTGTAGCCTGAGAAAGGCGAAACCATATCAAAGAATACATTTATTAACTACATTATCTAATTTAGCTGTAGCTTTTATAAGGCTCCGAAGCCTCCATGTGCCTAACATCTGTGGCTATACAATGTGGCAAAATGAGCTTGGCCTCGTTTTGGTTGTTCCATATGATGGCTGTGATAATAGAGGTATGCATTTTACTTCTAATAATGCAATACAAATACTTACAAGGTGGCACATTTATAAGCCTTTTAAAGATGCAAGTAAAAGTGTTGGTATTGCTCATAACAATTGTAATGACTGCAGCTAAAATGTATTAGCATGATAAACAATAAAGCCAACTTTTCAGCAAATGGTTTAGTGTGCATACCATAACTGCTTTGCTTTGTGTTTCAGAATGGAGTGTACGGGTTGGCAATGCGTTGGTTGGAGACTACAGTAAAGTTCACCTCCATACTTGCCAACCCTCCCGATTTTCACAGGAGACTCCCGATTTCACTGCCCTCTCCCGGTTTCCTCCCGGGGTCATATTTCTCCCGTATTTCAAGGTTGGCAAGTATGCCTGCCACATGTTGAAAAGTTTGGCTTCTGTTACCCAGAAGTCTGCTCGTCAGCCAACGAGACTTCCATTCCCTCAAGCCCTGGAGTGTGAATCGTCATATGCGTAATTTAATACAGCCCAACTACGATCCTTATCTTTATTACTATATGTGTTACTTGAGTATGTTGACGCCGCCACCAACAACTACTGCTGCTACAACTACTGCTCAACCTGACACCACCCAAGTTACGCCATCTATGGACCCCCCTCAAACCATGCCTCTTAGATATCCATATTCCTATTATTATCCTTACTACTATCCATGCTGTGGGAGAAACTTCTGTGTAGCAATGCAGTGGGAGTCACCGACTCAGGAAGACGACACAGGGAGAGCTGGAGCTTTGATGTCAAACACTGACGGTTTATTTAGGAGCTTTGGCCGGAGAATTCACAAAACAAATCCAAGAGCCAGAGGTTCTGACTTCACGGTAGAGTTGCCACGTCAAATCTGAAGAACTCATACAAGACCCATGTATTTAGCTAGTTCAGAGAGAATAATCAACATGCTGCATAACAAGATAGAATCATAACACCTCTATCAGCTGACGCCAACAGGAAGGAACAGGGAGACAGAACACTGAGAGCACAGCAGCCAAGGTTACAGGTGCGTGTGCTCAGTCAGGACAGTTTGAACTGATACACTGGGTCAAAGTTATGGACCTTGGAAAATATTTCCCCAACAGTTCCTCTCTTTTTATCAATTTTGATAATCTAAAAACCTTAGTCTAATAATATTTTGTTCAATACTTAAATCAATGGGTGTCTTCAGATTTGAGTGTGGACTCACCTCACATCAATTACATCACAAAGTAGAATAAGATTGAAACATTCAATCACAATGATTGATACAGCCAATCATAATAGAAAAATCATCTCTCATCAGTGTTTAGATCAACTTTTGTCAAAAGCATAATAATGAACACATAATATCACAGATACATAATAACAAAAACATTTATTTTAAACTAATATCTTTTAACTAGGGCTGTCAGTCGATTAAAATATTTAATCGCGATTAATCGCATGATTGTCCATAGTTAATCGCGATTAATCGCAAATTAATCGCACATTTTTTATCTGTTCTAAATGTACCTTAGAGGAATATTTTTCAAGTTTTTAATACTCTTATCAACATATGAGTGAACAAATATGCTTTATGCAAATGTTTATTATCATTTGAACAATGACAAATATTCTCATGAATATTAAACACAACAACCTCTGAACATTACAAATACGGCGAGCCGTCGAGGCAAGCGGGCCGATAGGAACTCAACGTTATCGAAGTTGCTAGGCCAGTGTTGGTGTGTGTGTGTGTGTTGTGTGTGTGTGTGTGTGTGTGTTGTGTGTGTGGGTGTGTGTGTGTGTGTGATGTGTGTGTGTGTTGTGTGTGTGTGTGTGTGTGTGGTGGTGTGTGTGTGTGAAACATAACACAAGTTAGCATACTCCGCCAA